GTACGGCCCATGCCGCGTCCGGATGCGCCAACCGGACGCGGATTCAGTTTTTTATTTTTTATTTTTTAAATTCGTATAAATTAAAAAAAATTACCTTGCTCGAGAATAATGCTTTGCCAATGCCGTAGGATTTTTTCGACATTTTTTCGGATTTTTTTGAAGCACGAATGGCTCGTTGAAGATAAAATTCTAGAGAGATAGAGAGAGTAGAGAGAGTAGAGAGAGAAGGTGGAAAGGGTATTTTCGTAAAAGGGGGACAGTAACTAGTAAAAGGGGACGGTAAATAGCGATTCACTTAAAATATTGACTTAATTACACATAAAATCCTCACGTTTTGTGTAATTGCAAATAAAACTCAACAGTTTTATCATTGCAACTAAATACCAAACATTTATTATGTGTTGCAAATTTATTCAAAACTATTTTCTGGCCAATTTTGCTGACGTGTCCGATCATAACACTAAAATCGCCTAAAAATCACTCGAAAAATTGCTCACTTTGCCAATTTTTTTAAAATTTGGGGTGAGCTCGTAAATGTATTCGTAATATTGGGGGGTGAACTCGATTTTTGGGGGGTGAAGAATTGCGCCATGGATAAGAAAAGAATCGCAGCAAATATTTTTTTTCTCAATTGGGGAGAAGAATTCGATTTTTATAAAGATTATGGAGCAAAAAATGGTGATAAAACTCTATTTTTCCAATTGGTACTAAACTCTAATTTTGGTTAACTTATTGGCATACGATGTGGCAAAACATGGAGAGAAGTTTCAAAGATTGATGTCACACAAGTCTCATAAATGCCACGTAAGGTTTATGATCGGACACGTCAACAAGAATTGATCGGAAAATAGTTTTGAGACAAATTTGCAACACTAACGAAAGTTTGGTATTTATTGCAAAGATAAAAATGTTGAATTTTATTTGCAATTACACAAAATGTGAGAATTTTTGGTGCAATAAGCCTAAAATATTTTTTAAGTTTTACCTTATATTATATAACAAATGGGATAATAGATAAATATTCTCTAAGTTTTACCTTATATATTATAACAAATTCATTTTAAATCTGAATGAACATGGAGCCGAAACACGAGAGCACCCTCTAAGCTAGAAAAAGAGTTTTTTGAATGATGCATAATTGTGTTTTGAAAATTCTACATTAATGTTGGAGAAGATAAGAACAAAAATATGTACACTATATGATTTCAAAGTTTTTATTGACCCGCAATCCCAATTAGATGGGGTGCTGCTGCTTCATACACGCAAGCTTATATATTCAAGAAAATCAGGCCATCTCTTTTTCACAGAGTATCTATATATATGTGCCCATGCAACGATTATCAATGTACCAACATCAATAGCACTTTAATTACATTGCTCATTACTTGTAATTACCATAATAGCAGCTAGATATGGCAGATTGTCCAGGCAAGAACACTCTCCTCGATTAATTTCTTTATCGGCTTAATTATAGGCCGTTTCGTTCGATCTCTTTATCGTTATCGGTTTGTTTGATATTGTTGTTAAGTCTTCTATTTGTTTTTTGTGTTTTGTTAATAGATACTAAAGGCAAGACCTCATGGCCGGAGTTAGTGGGGCAAAACGGTAGGTTTGCCGAGGCAGTGATCGAGCGTGAGAACCCAAACGTGGACGCGATTGTGGTTTTAGATGGAAGTCCGGATACCACGGATATCAGGTGTGATCGTGTACGTGTTCCGGTCAATTACTCGGGCATCGTGGTTCGTACTCCTACAGTTGGTTAATCCAAATTTGAAGAATAAATG